CTAGTAGCTTCATGTAATCAGACAATATAAATGTCTTTGTATATACCTCCTGACAACACCTTCTCTCTTAACTGTAACATATTGTTTTATCAAAGACTTCAGGGCATCCTGGCTTCTTATTAAAAAAAATAAATCAAATCACTGCAGTAGAAAATCATTCAATCAAACACTCTCCAATACACTTTGAGATGGGAAGCAAAGCTCTGAGAAAAAACACTGCACTTTTCTAGGTTAAGTGCAACAAGTTCGACACTCAGACATCCTTGAAATGTCTTTCTAAGGCAACAAAACCCCTACTTGTTCCCTCTGTATATTCTCTTCCTAACACTGGATAGCCCCTACCTGCCTAAGTAGCTGTCTGTGGGGAAAGCACTATTCCCGATGAGACCTGAAGGTACATTTTAAAAGCACAGCATAAACCCCACGATGTTTCATGCTGTTTACTGTTTGAATTAACTTCAAGCTTTTCCACACAGTCAAGCAATTATTTAACCAATAATCAACATTTAACAGTGAATATTAAAATTAGATCTCTTGAAGGAGACACAGTGTTCTTGCTTCCAGCATTAACTTGCTTGTGCATTCAGCACTTTTTTCCTTGATGTCATGTGACAGGCTATTTTTAATATTTGCCTGAATATATTTTGCATCTTCCTTTGATACAGAAAGCAGTTTTGTGAAGCTCGTCTGCATATTGCACTTCCCTTGCCATGGCAGTCCAGAGCGAAGCTTTTCCATTTCACCGCAATTCGGCATCGGCTGGTAATGGCAGGAGCACAGAGCCCTGCGTGCGTGCCTGCAGCTCCAGCAAAAGCCATGCTGAGCAGGCTGCACAGGGGACTGCCACGTGCCTACAGCACATGGTCATGCAGGCAACAGCCACCCAGAGCCTCACGTGAGAGTCAATGTGAAGAGCGGCTCTCAGTACCACCCTGCCTGATGGTTTAGCTGGTCATTCCCATGTTGTCACGTGGGAGAACAAAGGTCAGGAAATTCCCAGCTCCTCTTGGCGCTGGAGGTAGAGTCCTTCGACTCTAAGAGAGGGGGCTCACACTGTGGCTCATGCAACACCTAGCAACTACTTGTAAACAATGATGAAAGCATAGGAGAGGACTCCACACAGAACTTGACTGCTGGGAATGCTGCCCTTCACACTACAAAAGCTGTGCTGGAGGAGAAGGAGGAGGAGGAGGAGGGAGGTCACGTTAAGAAACACAAGGGAAGGAAGACTGCAATAAAGGGAGTGTCTCACACACACCCTTTTGTGGGCTGCCCCCTTCACCAAGTCATCCCCAGCATGCAGCTGAGAGGCTGGATGGAGCAAGACCAAACCTCTCCCACCTGGCTGTAGGGCCCATTACAAATGAGAGTTAAAAGAAAGCGCTGAAAACCACCCAATCACACCTAGTGTCAATCACTACAGTTTGGCATCTATGCAAGAAGTAAAATGTAACTGATACTGCGCTCTAGACGAAGTATCTTGGCTGAATAAATAAAACATGGCATGTAATAAAATCTTTGGTTCTTGGGGGGTGGGAGGTGCAAGCACACTTCACATGGAAATAGTTTTCAGCTTTGATTAAGGTACTCCTGAATATATAGAACTTACTTTGTTTTTAAGCTCAAAGACTTGCAGATATTGCACATAGGTGTGCTTCTGCAGCCGATTACAAAGCTTGCTTTAATTTTTATCTTTCCTTAAATAATCTTCAACAAATCCCTTGCAAGTAGTCTAAGGCAACCAGCCATCCAGGCAACACAGACTCAAGACCATTGTCATAGGGATACAAAGGATGAGGGAGTTTTTCCAAAGCCCCCATCAGCCCTATCCTCCTTAAGGCGCAGGGCAGCAACACCATGCAGGTTATCACTGTGCCAGCAGCATCCCTGTGCCACAGCCCTACACCCAAGGCTTTGGTGGCAAACAGGAAATTCACATCTAAACCACAAAATCCCCCAAACCTTCTGATTAGGGTCTTCTACCAGACTCAGCTGAGGCTTCTGAACCCCAACTCACTCTGTTTAAGCCTTTGCAGTAGCTGCCTCATTCACCCAAATAAGGAAAAGAGCCAGGTAAAAGCAACCACCAACTAGTTATCTGCAAAGTATGTACCTCCCTTTACATACAAACAGCTACAAATGCTACAAAATTCCTTAAAGGGCTCTGCAGTTAAATGAGAGATTTACATACCAGCAAAAAAACAAAAACAGCTAAAGACAATATGAGGTGTGCAGCAGATGAACCACCATGAAAATGCGTTTGCAGCAACAGGTTTGAAAGCCAGCTTTATAAAACCTGGTTTTGAGGAAGACTAGATTTCAACTGTCTTCAAACACTGAAGTTTTAAACATGTCTACACATCACATGGTGGTCTGCAATGTTAAAATATATGAAAATACTACTTTTTATTAACAAAATCAGAACTGTAAAAAAGGAATACATCAGACTGGAATCTTGCAACACCCATTATGCCCTGTCTCTCCTCTTCAAAAGAGGGGAAAAAGAAAAAAAATCAGATTTGCTACATGTACATCCCCTGAACAGAAATTTATGGAAAAGTAGATGCTTGCTTTATTCTTTGCTATAGTCCAGAGAACAGATAATAAACTGGTGAACCTAAACATTTTTCCATTGACTAGACAATCCAATCTGGAAACACAGAATTAAGTTAAATTTATAATGAACCTTTCTGTTGGTGGGTTTGTTTTGGTTTTTTTTTTTTAATTTTTTTTACACACAATTAAATCTTCTAATGGCACTCTTCTATAGACCGTCTATGTCTGAGATACACCACGTACATACATAGTCACATTTGGTGTTTCATGTGCATCCTCCCCCATACACAGTACATGCAGGTACAGGAGTTTTGACCCACTGCATGTGATATGTTGACACTAAGTGCTGCAGAGCCAGTTAAAGCAGCACAGGATTTGACCCTTCCTTCAGCCAGAGACCACATGCTCAAACAGGCTTCCACTGTAAGACAAAATTCAGGGGGGACAACGATGAAATGTTTTTAGAAGAATTACTATCCCCTAAAAATAAAAAAAATAAAAAAATAAATCTCAGTTTTCCTACAAATAGGAAGATCACATGGAATTAATTTTTATTGAAATCATATACTTTATACTATTTGTTCTTGGGTTTTATTACAGTAATACAAATCACAACAGGTATACTGGAACGGTAGCTCACACCAGTTAAAAATAAGAACAGATCTTCTTCATGTGACAGTTTAAAAAACAAGTATTTTTAAAGTCTTAAGATATACTAATCAAAAGGCTCCATTATAATGATTTTAACATCTACCTCCAGACTAACTCTCATATTTCAAAGCAGCACATTGGCACTCTCACGACAACCTTAAATACTCATTTTCACTTTTGACTTGTAAAATATATACTCTTATATTAAAACTTGCTCAACTGCTAAACTACGATTCTCTTCAAAACAGATTGTCAAAGTAAGATTTTTTTATACAACAGCACTTCAAAATTTCAACAACCTGATGTAGGACCAGACTACTGCTGATTTCCCCTGCAGTGGGTACTACGGCTTACTACTTACCGTGGGGGAAATAATTTAAGAACTGGAATGAGCTCCCTTTCAAAAACACATTTAACAAAAAAATTGTATTTTTCTTAAGGCAAGATGGCATGGGGAAAATATACCTGAAAACTTAGGTATTTTATTTTGCCCTAAGAGACATGGCTTCTTTTAGAAGAGTAAAAGAGTGCACAGTTTTGTGAGTCAAGTTGTAACCCTGAGTTGGAAATGGCTCAGGAAAAACTCCAAAAAAAACCAAAAACAAACCAAAGAGTTGAAAAGTCACAGAGACAGCTGATTACAAATAAATTCTGACAGGTGATCATTAAAAGCCCAGCTTATAACCAGGCTCCTCTGGAAAAAAGGAATGAGGACAGATTATCTGCCAGATAATGTTGTGCGTGCACATGTGACAGAAAACGGTGTAGCATATATGCGCTATTTTTAAGAAGTGGCTCAGGAAAAGCAAAGTGGTTTTTACATTCTGCTCCTGCCAACTCCAAATGCATTTTACCTTTGGAAACCCTCCTAAGTTATTAGTCAATTTGAAACAAAACAAAGTCAAATCCACATAAAGTAAAAGTAAGTAAATGAAATCCACGACTAAACACATGCTTCTGACTCGGGGCCAAGGAGTCTGGTGACAGGTTTGGGGTATTTTGGGGGGTGTTTTATTTCTTCTGAATGAGAAAAGAATATTACAGGCTTGTAAGACTTTTTATTTCATCCTGCTCCACAACTTTTGTCCTTCTATTTATTTATTTTGCCTCCTTATCAGATGATTCTGACAATGACTTCGCACGCTGAGCATGGCAAACGATCAAGCAGAAGCGAGAGGAGTGGTTTCCTGCTGCCAAGCGCACACTTTGCTCTCGCAAACCTTGTGTGAGCAGAAGAGCACAATAATAAGTCACCCTTGGTCTTTAGAAGAAAAAAAGAAAAGTAAAGCTCCATGTTTTCCAAACTTCAATGTTGACACTACTCCACTGACCATGATCTCAGCCATGCTGGTGTCAAGCCAGAGCAGTTACTCTGGATTCATACTAGTGGAAGCACTGTTTTAACTTCGAAATAATCGCCCACTCCTGTGTTCTCACATCAAATATTGGCCAAATTCTTGGTCCTTCTCCTTGTTTATGGTGTTAACACCATGGCTGCTATGCATTACTATTCCATCTGTGGCCTTTTTACATACTAATAGCTAGGCTATCAATGAAGAAAAGATAGGCAAGTTTCCTTAGAATTCCCACAGCTTCCTTACATAATTTAAATAGAAGTCCCTATGAAGCAACTTAGCAATAACTACAGCTATTATTTTTATTCTTTGGAGTGTGAGTGACTTGAACCATATTGGCTCTAAGCTGCCTGTCAACCATACAGGGAGAAGTAATGATTTACACAGGGGAGGAGGGCTCATGCCAGAATCCACTGGAAGTTCTTAGGGCTGATTTACCTGGTCTGACCGGGCTCTGCATGCAGTTCTGCGACACCATGCCTGGATGGACTGAAGTAGAAGCCCTGCTGCTGAGGTCCATGACTGAAGGTGATGCTGAGGTAGCTTGCTGGAGACCTGACTGGTGCGGGCTATGCTCGTGCTGGTTTGGGCTTGGTGGAATGCCATTTTCTGAGAGGAATTCTTCCAGGTCCATGTATTCCAACTGGAAAGTGTCTCCATCATATGGCAGTGTCTTGTCCCATAATGTTGGACCCAAGAAAGCTGACTGAGGGACTGTGGTACTGCTGCTGTCATCATCTAACTTCTTCTCTTTGTCTTTTTCTTTACCGAATGCTTAAACAAAACATATAATAAAGATGTAAGAGCTCAGTAATTAAAATATTAGCTATTACTATTTCCGTTAATTCTGCTGCACTCAGTTGTAAGTAACAAATACTCTCTTCATAAAAATAACCCCTTCAATTCACTCTCTTTGGTAGAGAATTGAAGGCTTATGCCAGCTGAGCACCTCTGCTGGATCCAACTGCAAGATTTTTCCTCTATTATTAGTTAACAATTCCACTGAATGCATGTTTGACTGTCAGCTTTAATCAGTACTCAACAGACTTAAAAGTGACTATTTAAGCAAAATAAACTGCAGACTATTGCTGTATTGTGTTGAAAAGGCACAGTCTTAACCTAAAATCCCTGCAATTTATTATCCTGTCACACTTCTGAATACAGGTCCCAGTCTTGCTAGTCCTTACATGAGGAAAGTAGTCCTCAAATCCAGTACTTAACATTACTAACATAGAACAGCAGCGAAGTCTGACAGAACATGTATTCTGATGTGCAGAAGAGTTAACAAAAAATTCAAGTGAGGGAAAAAAAGTTAAAATGATGCTTCCTACTCATTCCTACACCATCCAGTGGTTTCAGGACACATTTCTGAAGGGAAACACCTGCTTTCTCTACAAGATTTGCAAGATTCCGAACCAATAAAGGCATCCTGACAACTACCATGCCTTCATAACGTTTTCGTTTTAACCACATGCAACAACCCCAGTGAAATCCCGAGAGTCGCTCTGCGGTGGGACTGGGAAAGCCGGGAATACAAACGCCTTGGCTCTGCAAGACCTCTCTTACAGGTTTCTGGTTTTAACGTGCGTTTGATTCAATACACACAAGGTGCAGCGACGCCCGCACTGCCTTAGCTTTCCCGAAAAGTTATAACTTCCCACTGTTCGGACACCTTCCAGTCGCACGGCACCGGTTTCCGACCGGCGGGCA